GAGGAGGAGGAGGAGGAGGAGAGGAGGAGGAGGAGGAGGAGGAGAGGAGGAGCAGGAGGAGCAGGATGAGCAGGAGCAGGAGCAGGAGGAGGAGGAGGAGGAGGAGTAGGATGAGGAGGAGGCAGGAGCAGGAGAAGCAGGAGCAGGAGCAGGAGGAGAGGAGGAGGAGCAGGAGGAGGAGGAGGAGGAGGAGGAGGAGGAGGAGGAGGAGGAGGAGGAGGAGGAGGAGGAGGAGTAGGAGGAGCATGAGGAGGAGGAGGAGGAGGAGGAGGAGGAGGAGGAGGAGGAGGAGGAGAAGGTGGAGCAGCAGGGCCCCACACCTATCAGGTATCTTAATTACCTAACAGCGAAGACTGATAGGTTTCTAGTGGTGTCAAACGAGAGCATCTGATAACTCAGAAGGGAGGTCTGGGCGGCATCCGGACAGCGAGGGCCGGGCTCAGGGCCGGGCTCGTTTTAAGGAAACAGTCACACACTTCGTGCTCTTCGACCTCCCAGAACTCCATTCCCGGGCCACATTTTGAATGCTCGAAGCCAACTGTAGGCCACTTCGTGCTCTACGACTTCCCAGAACTCCATTCCCGGGCCACATATGCTCGGAGCCAACTGTAGGCCTCTTCGTGCTCTTCGACTTCCCAGAATTCCATTCCCGGGCCACATTTTGGATGCTCGGAGCCAACTGTAGGCCACTTCGTGCTCTTCGACTTCCCAGATCTCCATTCCCGGGCGACATTTTGGATGCCCGGAGCCAACTGTAGGCCACTTCGTGCTCTTCGACTTCCCAGAACTCCATTCCCGGGCCACATTTTTGATGCTCGGAGCCAACTGTAGGCCACTTCGTGCTCTTCGACTTCCCAGAACTCCACTCCCGGGCTACATTTTGAATGCCCGGAGCCAACTGTAGGCCACTTCGTGTTCTTCGGGCCACATTTTGCTTATTGGATGTCCCCGTCATATCTCTCGCCGCCCGATTGCCGGTTTGTTCTGTTCGTCATCGTGCAGGGCAAGACGGCGGACCCAGGCGTCATCGTGCACTGGACGTTTCCGCCAGAATCTAATACTTGTAGTAGCAGTAGTAGGAGGAGCAGGAGAGCAGGAGGAGCAGGAGGAGCAGGACGAGGGAGGCTCCTTACTCTTTCCTCCCTCCCCTTTCTCCCTTCATTTCTGTACTGGGTACCCGACCCTTTATGACGTCCTCCGCAGGCCTGGGTGGTCCACTCAGGCCGCGGGGGAGGATAGGGGGAGGTGGGGTCTTCTTCTTTTCCTAAACAGCTTGATCCTCGTCGCCAGTACTGAGGAGGGGGGGGGTGCACCGTTCCTTCGGATGGGCACCCCCCCCCTCCGGGAGCTCTCGATCCCATTTCTCTCTCTCTCTCTCTCTCTCCTTCTTTCTTTCCTTCCTCGAAGCAGCAATCTCAAGATCGTCATCATCAAGCGTCTGTGGTCTCACAGCGTCACAGACTCATCATCTTCATCAGCCTCCCCGTAGCCTTCTTGGCTACAGCCCTGCTTTCGAAGATTCCCTTTCAAAGGAACTGCGCAGCGCCTACTGCAAACCTTAATGCCAAGACATGCTGGTAGTTCTCGGTCTGGCGGCGGTGCTCCTGAGCCTGCTGCATTGAACAGCGGTGCTCCTCAGACTCCGGCAGTGAACAGCGCTGCTCCTCAGCGTGCTGCATTAAGCGGTCCTCTGCAAACGCTCGTCGAGCACGTGAAGCAGTTCGGCCGGATACCGAAACGAAATAAAGGAACGTCCGAACAAGAACGGGCCGAAAACAAGTTGGCCAAACGTTTCTCGGACCATCGCGACCGCATCCCCAAAGACATTCTGCATGAACTGCGGGCCCTGGGCTGTGCTGATCAGCAGACGGAGACAAACGGAGGACCATCACTCCTACTCGTTCATTCCACACACTACAACTACTACTTCACTGTTACCACTACTACCATCACTACTACTTCTACTGCTACTACTATTGTGACTATTCCTGCTGCTGCTGCTGTTGCTGCTGCTAGTGTAGCTATTGCTACTGCAACTACTGGCAGTGCCATTGCGACTGCCGCTGATGTTGCCACTGCGACTGCCACTGCGAATCCGAATGCGACTGCGAGAACACCAGAATTCTACAAAAACACTCTTACATGAATACCACAGGCAATGCTTCCAGCTATGCTTCTACACATCGTTGTTAGGTTGCTTTGCCGGGATAATATTTTTCCATGGGCTCCAGATCTTGTTCAAGAACCTAGAATCTGGACCGGACCCTGGGCGTTTTCTTTAAGCCTTGTCTCTTTGTAGAATTCTTGCATTTCTGGACCTGGACCACTGTCTACGAAAGCGCTTGGCGTGACATCCGTTTCCTTCGCCTATAATTCTCCTAACTCTAAGCAGGGGTGTGCGCGTCGCTGCGGAAAACCTCCAAGTGGGGCCCGCGCCGTGCAGCATTGCAATCGTCATGGAATGTTGTGCGCGCCGCATCACGCTGAGGCCCTGCAGCGCTCGCAGCGCCCAAGCAGCGCTCGCAGCGCCCAAGGCTCACGGCACCACCGTGCTGGTCGGTAGGTAGTTCCGGCCAGGCAGAGCACGAGGAGCGTTGCAGCCAGGCTGCAGAGGCACACAGCGCCATTCCCGAGACTTGCGGCGGCCGGCGGCCGGCGGCGGGGCTCGCTGTGCGGCGGCCCGCGGCGCAGGGCCCCCGCCCGCCCCCGCCCTGCCCCGCCCCGCCCGCGGCGGCAGGCTGGTGCCGCCGCCCTCTCGGCGCGGCACGCGGCGGCCTGCCCGGGGCGGCCTGCCCGGGGCGGCCTGCCCGGGGCGGCCTCCCTCGGGCTGTCGCCTGGGCTCCGCCCTCCCTTTCTCCCCCCCCTGTCGCGGTCGTGCCCTGTCGTTCGCTCTCCGCCCTCCCCGGGCTCCAGGTTCGTCCGGGCCCCCGGGTGTCATTGCCTCCTCTGCCCCCTGCTGCTGTTGCTCTCCCGGGTCGTCCACCGGCGAGGCGGCGGGCGGGGCGCGCACAGGGCATATTTTCGAGCATCCCCGGTCCATTGCTTGGCGCCGCATCATTGTTTGCCAGCTGTGGTGCTGTCGAGGGCCTGGCGTCTCTGATGCTCTTGCCCCTTCGACACGTAAGAGTGACCCTTCGCTGGAGTGACCTTTGGTGCGGGCCCATAGGGGTCCCCCCGATCGCTGAGCGCGGTGCGATAGCGGCTGACCATCTTGCGCCCCTCTAGTCCGCGCACAAAAGGTCACGCCTGCCTAGGGTCACTCCTGCGTGTAGCCGATCCTTGCCGCTGGTCGTGTCCTCGACCCTGCAGGCACGACGTGCCTCCTCCCTGCGGTCGTCGACGTCGGAGGAGGACGATGAGAGGCGAAGGAGTGGATGGGGAGAGGCGGCGCAGGCGGAGGCCTCTGGCCCCTGCGGGGCTCCTGGGGGGCGCCCTCGTGACCGCCGCTGTGGTTGGATCGGACTTCCGGCCCGGGGCGCGCCTCCGGAAAGGCCGAGGCCCCAGGGGTCGATCTCGAGGAGGAGGCCCAGAGGTCGGCACCGGCACCAATGTCGGCGGTGTGCCTCCCGCGAGGGAAGATGATCCCGAGCTCGGTGACAGCGGTAGTGCTCGGGCTTCCCGGGTGGCCGAAGCATTACCGCCCGAGCCAGAACCTAGGATCGTCCTCCTCTGGTGGACGCACACCCCCGTTTCTAGTGTTGGTGCCCGTTCCGGAACCTCCAATAACTCTCCGCCCCGCTGGTAGCCGACCGCTTGTTGGACCCAACTCGCGCAGACCTCAAAAGTGCCTTTTGTCGTTGCCTTTCTTTCTTCAGATTTCTGCCTCCAGGGCCTGCTATATAGAGCCCCACAGGACCTTCGGAAGTGGATCCGGGGCGACGAGCCCCCCCCCTGGGAAGGTCGACGCCTCCCTGGGGCCGCGCACGCTCCTGGGTCGGCTCGATTCGGGACGACTCGCTGGCGATCCGATCCGCTTCCGATCCGATCCGACTCTGCGATCCGCCCCAGCCCAGGCCTGTCGACATCGGAGGGCCAGGATCTCGGCGCATGCCCTTCTTGGCGCCGCAGGGCTCGCCGCAGCTGCTCCGGCGCGAGGCGTTCCGGCGGGGAGGGGGCCCGCGCGTGCGAGCCGGGCCGCCGGGGCGCCGCCCATGGAGGCAGCTCTGGCGCCCCGCGCGGCACCAGCGGGAAGACGGGGGCCGAGTGCGAAGCCTGCCCCCCCCCCCCCCGCTTCCTGAGGGGGCGCTCCCGAGCGAAGTGACCCCCCCCCTTCCCCTCCCCGTCGTGACGCGTGGGGGGTGTTAGGGGCAGGGCTCGCACCTGGCCCCCTGGAAGAAGCGCCGGCGGAGCCGCAGGCCTGCCGCTGGCCGACGGGAGCACCGTGGCGTCCGGCAGCGCCGCGGAGTGCTGGAGCGCGGAGGCCGAGGGGGCCGAGGGGCCCGGGCTGGGCGAGTACGCGGCCGGCATGTGCATCAAGAACACCTTCCTCGAGATCCCCTCGGAGATCGAAGGGCAAGAAGCGGCGTGCCCACGATTTCTCGGAGGTCCGCGCGGACCTCCGAGGAGTCGTGCGGGTGCCGCTTCTGATGCCTCTGGCCAGTCTCCCAGTCTCCCTTTCCCGCTCTCCTGCTCCTCTCCCCTCCTTCTCCCTCGCCTTCTCCCTCTCTCCGGCTCCTCGGTTCCTGCCTTGCCCCATCCCGGGGCGGAGGACCTCACGGAGCATTAGAAGCTATTCCAACCAGCCTCTTCCTGCCCGAGTCGCACGCTGGCACTCGAGCTCTCCGTCGCGCACCTCATGAGCCCGCCCTCGTTCGAGCGGGGTGTCTTGACTTGACTCTCCCAAAGGGGGCAAACACACGGGCACAGAGAATCGTCGATTCCCCGGAAGATATGGAGCCTGTGGGAAGTGGAGGAGAGGACGAACATCCCGAACATCTGGAACAAATGGGGGGAAATCCTGGAATGTGTGTCTGTTTGCTGGTGTGCCCCTGGGCCCCTTC